CTCCAGGGCGCCCAGGGGCACAGCATACGCCGACAGCGGCGTCTCGGGGTCTATGGGGGCGTTGGGCATGACGAACGCGCCCAGCGCCGCCGAGTGGCCGCCGTTGCCCCCGCTGGCGTTCTCGGCTAGGACCACCTTGTAGAAGTGGGTCGGGACGGCCACCAGCTGCGGCGGCTTGCCTGCGGAGCGGGGCGGTAGAAGGGGGCCCGGGGCGGGGGACGCACGGCACGTCGCGTTGCTGAGGCACACAGCTGCCTCAGGGAGTTTGGGGGGCCGCCTCCCCCGGCCGCGGCTCCGCAGAACGCCTCTTGCGGCTTGGAGTGGGGCCGGCCGGCCCCTGCCGGCGCAAGCGCCCCGCTCCTGCCCGCCTAGCACGCCTGGCTCCAACATGGGCCCACACCCCTTGGCTCACGCATGCCTGCACCAGCCCTCCCATGCATGCCCCCACCAGCCCTCCCTCCAGCGCACACGAGCCGCACCTATCAAGGGGTACTGCATGCGCCACCCCGTCCTGCCGCTGGCCGGGTCGGCCTCCGGCGTCGGCAGGTAGAGGGGCCCCGTCACTATGTACACGCCGTCAGACTGGCGCACCACATCCTTGACAAACTTCTCGAAGCGCGCCCAGTAGTCGCGGTTGAACCCGACACCCACCTGGGGCGAAATGTTGCTGCGTGCGCGCGTGTGTGGAGGGGGGCGAGGGCGTGTGCAGGGGGATGCAGGCGTGGTAGGGCCCGGAGAAAAGAGGATGGTTTGGGGGTGGTTTTGTGCTGTGCAGATGAAGGCGGGGCTTGCATGAAAATGTGAGGCAGCCCTTGCCGAAGCGACTGTTGAGGGCCCGCAATCCCCCTGAGGCGGCGCCTGCAGTGAGCTGTGCATGCGCAGGTGCAATCAGGATGGCCGTTGCTTCCGGCAGAGACCCCCTGCTGAGGCCAAACGCCGCCAGCATGTGCCCGCTCCAGCCCCACCTGAGGGCAAAGGTCTCGTCCATTGCCTTTTGGGACGCCTTGTGGTTGGCCGCCGGCGCCTGCGAGGCGACAACACCAGGTAGAGATGGGGTCAGAGCGGGGCGTTGCACCATGGTGAGCTTGGGCTGCGCGTGCGAAACTGTCTGCCAGGCTGCCAGCGCCAGGCCGCAGCCGCCAGGCGAGCGTGCGAGCTTGCGTCCTTACCATTCCACCAAGCATATTGCATCATAGCCTGCCTCTGCAGCAAAGCGGAGCTTGAAGCGCATCCTCTGCTGCTGCCCTGGTCTGTGATCCCTTCACTGCACGCCTGCCCCAGATAACCCACACATGCTGCCATCCTATTCGCGCCAGACTTCCCTGTTGCAGCCGCCGCTGCTCCCCTCCCCCCTCAAGTCTCCGCCATCCCACCAACAAGCCTGCACGCCCGCACACGCACCATGTGGCCCCTGTCATAGCCAGAGTCCTGGAAGTCGGACAGTTTTGACCTGAATCGCGCATCGGCCCCGGGGTCCTCGTAAAACAGCGACTGGTCCCTGAGTATTGGTACAGCCAGGAGGAGGGGGCGGGCGGTGGGAGTCGCCAGGGAACGCTTGCGAGGTGCATGTGAGGTGCATGCGAGGTGCATACAGGGCCAGCAGCGCTGCGAACGCTTCATGGCACGACCTCGGATCGGATCGGCAAAGCTGCGAGCAGCGCGTGCAGCCACGCAGAGATTCAAGGGGCACCGGCCAACAGCTGCAGCCGCCCGTCGCGCGAGCGGGTTTGCCCCGCTGGCACCCGCCGCTCGCTGCGTCCCGCAGCGGCCCCAAGCGCTGGCGGCGCCGGTGGGTCGCACCTGGTGCCCTCCCCCTTGAGGGAGTCCTTTGTGATGTGCTCCAGGACCCACTTGGGGTTGCGCGTGGCGCCGTCGAGGCACGACACAAAGCCGGAGAAGAAGCGCAGCTGCTCCGTCTGCGGGATGCCAAACTTGATGGCCGGGTGGGACAGGTCCTGGTCCGTAGACCCGCGGCCTGTGGAGGCGGTTGGAGCAGCGGACGCAGGTGACGAGTGTAGGCCGACCAGACGCCTGAGCCGGCTCACGGTGCCAGCAGAATGGGGCTCATCCAGACGGCAGCAGCCGCCCATGCAACGCTGCCTTCGAGGCACCCGGCCGGTGCTCCTGCCGCCCATGCCAGCCTATGCATGGCGCTCTGTTATGGGTGCATGCGTGCTGCCCCACCTGCGAGCTGCCACGCTGGGCTGGCGGGCCGGGATGCGCCGTTTCTCAGGTAGACGAGCGCGCCACCGACGCCAAGAGCGCCACCCACCGCCAGGCCCACTGCGAAATGTCGCAGCCTGCACGTAATCGAATGGAGCTGTGTGTGATACTTTCAGACATGGATAGCTGCAACATTGCTCATGCCCGCCAGATCCGCCATCGCCTCCGACCTCAGATCCATCCCGCCGAAATTTGTAGATCCTCGAAACTGTTCCTTAGCCCAGTTTTCTTTTCATATGCCTAGTGCTGATCAGCGTCAGCTAGGCGGTGTACAGCAGCTAAAGCTTTGTGCAGGAAATACGTTTGTCCAGTATTACGTCTTTGAGCAACTCCGCAATGCCAATGACCGCACAGGCACCTTGGTTGAGTATCACTGAGTGCCCATACCGATCGCAGCGAGGCCATGCCGCCATCAGTGAAGCTGCCGTCCTGCTGCTCAGCGCTGACGTAGGCTGCAACCACTCAGCCAGCCGGCAGGGAGACGTTACAACGCCAGCTAACTGGCCGCATCGTCGCTGCTGTCCCATAGGGCACCTGCCTTGCAAACGGGCGCCAGTGGATCGGCCTTGCACAGCGCACTCCGGAGTGCCCGGTTTTGCCGATGAAGCCTGCGCAAGTGCCGCTCATGCCGCAGCAGCGCCCGCAGCGCTTCTTTATCCCCTGATGCAGGCTGCACCTTCGCCTGTCGCAGGTGGTCGGCCTGCGGCGGCGTGCGCCCCGGCCCCGGTAGCTGCTCGGGGTGCGCCAATGAGCTGACAGCGCCGCCGCCGCTCAAGATGCCAGGCCGGATGGGGGCCGCAAAGGAACGCGCGGCCAGGCCAGTTGTGCCAGTGGGGCCCATCAACCACGGAGTTTGGGACGGCAGGGTGACGCCGGCCGAATGCAGCGACGACATAACTGTGTCAGCCGCCGAGCCTGCGGGTTGGGGTCCGGGGCAGGTGCAGTCGTTTTCAAAGAGCATTTGGTTGCAAGATGCGCCGAACCCCTGGAAATGCACTAGTTCAGCCATGCACGCGAGCGAAATTCTGGCACCAGACAGGGAAGCTGCTGCGTGCGGCCTGCGTGTGCCATTGGTGCGAGTGCCAGCGGTGCACCAACCTGCGAGCCGCTGAGCGCACTCTGCGAGCGCCTCCCACGCAGATGGTTTGACCAGCACGCCCGCTGCGAAGAAGCCCCATCCCACGCCCACGCCACAGCCGAGCCCGGCATCTACGCCGGGCAGGCCCATTGCCAGGACGCGGCGGCGCGCTTCCGCCGCAACACCTTGCAGCGGCGCCAGGCCTGCACCTAGTCCTTGGACGGCCTGGCCAGCAACCGGCAGCCCCCCCAGCGCCAGCGGCCTGCCGAGCCCGATCCCAAATCCACAGCCGGCGCCCGCGCCCAGGCCCGTAGCGCCGATTCGCAGGGCGAAGGGGAAGCCTGTGTGGACACGTGGTTGCCATGGCTCTGGCTCGGGCTGCGAGGGCATGCTGTGCGGCGCACCGTCGCACGGCTCCAGGCCGCCGTCGGCGCCTGCCGCCGCCCGAGTGGCCATGGCAGATCGTTTGCCTTGATCACTCTGGGGGCAAACTGGCCCGTCTGCCTCGTATGTGTCGGGTTGCAGTGGGGCCTGGGTGACCAGGCTGGTTACAACCCGATCTTCATCCACGGTTCCGCTACGGCTGAGTCATCCGGCATATAATCGTTTCTCTTCATAGTCGACCATCCAGCGGGAACCTCTTGATCTGCTCACAACCCGCGATTGCTCAACAGCCGTCCCGTTTGCAGCCACGCCTCTCCATCTGCAGGGATCGTTGCCGTCACACCGCCTCGGTATCCGTCCCGCTGCTTGGCCTTCGCGTTGGACCGCTTCGGGCGGATTGCGAAGGGGCACGGCCAGCAGCGTGTCACAGCCCGCTGCGGCGAGCCAGAGGTGCTGCATCGGCCTTCGGCGTGGCGTGCAGGCGGCATGCATGGCAGCAGCGGCATGAGCTCAAGTTTTGGAGCAGATCGAGCATGGGATGAGCTGCGCCGCGAGGTGCGTCGCAGTGCTGCAAACGTCGCACGGCACAGATGGCTCGGTTATGTCATCCAAATGCAGCACGAGGGGGTCGCCGGCTTGTGCACAACCTTGGTGGGCCGCTGCAAATGCAAGGGTTTAGATGCAGGTTTGTAAGCCCAAGCATTCTGCCCCTGCAGGCACGGCGGTTGGAGGGCGAGCTGGAGGTCAAGCTTCTGGCGCTGACTAAGCTTACGTCTGGACTGGAGGGCGGCTACCGCAGCAGCAGCAGTAGCAGCAGCCGGCATGATCATGGCTCAGGCCTGGGCCCGGATCAGGTAGGTGCATGGTTCATCAGCAGCGCGGTGCCGGCACCTCTGTTTTTGCGATGGGAGAGTTGCTGTGACGTTGCTGGGGCGGAAAGCGAGCCGCTGGTGACTCAGGACTGTGATGACACGCGGAGTTTTGACTGCCGCTTCGGTATCCGATCTGATCTTGCGCAATACGCCTGCCCCGGTCGTGTCGTTACGCAGCTGGCTCAGGCTAAGGCGTCTGAGGTTGAGGCCCTGCTGCAGCGGCTGTCTGACGTGAACGACGAGATGGTGGGGTGCTCAGGGGCCGGGGCGACCGTGGGCCTGGGGGGTGCGCCTTTGCTTTTGTGGCTAGAATGTATCCGCTGCTTGCACGTGCTGCACGCGTGGCTTAAGGGTTTGACGCGCTGCTGACTTCGACGTCCACCATGGATGCGAACAGGGCGGTGTCATTGGGGGCGGCAGCGACGCGCGCGTGCACACCCTGGCGCGCCATCGCGACGTGCTGCTCGAGTACACACAGGTGTGTTGGCTACAGAGAGAGCACAAGTTTGTTGTGTGTGTGTGTGTGTGTGTTTGCATGCCAGTGTGAGGGGGAGAGAGATGAGCAAGATGTCACAATATTTCTGTGTACCATTTGTGAGGGTGGCTTGGCTGGACGCATCCTTGTGGGCATGCTTGCTGGTGAGTGCTTTACTCCACGCGCATCGCAGCAGCGCACACGCACTTTCTGGCACGCTCGGAGGCCGCAGCTTGGCTTCCAACTGCACTCAGCTCTTGGGCACATGCATGCAAGGAGTGAGCGTCTTGGTTTTACAAGCAATTGCCAACGATACTTCTATGCGGCTTTACGCACAACAACAGTCTCTCCGCAGACTGCCGGCTGCGCACTGTGCGTATCCACACCCTACCACACCCAAGTGCGCGATCCTCTTCCCTCCAACATGCGTCTGCACAGGAGTTCAGGCGCATGGAGTCGGCTCTGGGCGCGGCGCGCGATAGGGCAGAGCTATTGGGCATGGGCGGCGAGGCCGCGCCGCTGCTGGGGGTCCAGGTGGGTGCGGGGCGCGGCGACCATGACGCAGGCGTGCAGTCAGCCACGTGCGGGGCGAATCGAGCCCGTGTCGACGGCGGGGCAGCCGGCCAGCAACAGGCGGTGTGAATGCACCGGCGCTTGGCGGGATGGCTCAGATCTCAGGCAGGCCTCAGCTTGAAAAGTCACCATCACCCTGCGCCGCTTTCGGCAGCCGTTGTGCAGCGTGAAAACCCACGGAACCGCCTTCCTCGGGAACAGTGTTACAATTCGCCATGGAAACGCAATCGCGCGTTGCCGCACTCTGCCCGGGCCTGATCCGCTCCCGCCCCAACCCCCTCCCTGTGCCATGACTGCGCCCCGTCTCAGGTGCACAACGCGTCAGGTGCGCTGCTGCGCGAGCGCACCCAGCTGGCGGCCTCTGCTGGATATGTGGACGACATGCTGGCGCAGGCGCAGACGGTGACGCGTAACCTGCTGGAGCAGCGGCGCGTGTTTGACACCGTGCAGGTGTGCGCTTGCCCTGTTTTAGGGGATCCAGGGGCAGGCTCCGTTTGTGTTTATGTGTGTGCATGTGTTGTGTGCGTGGCTGGCGGCAGGCACATGATTCGTGGGACTCGCGCCCTGGAAGCTGGGCGTGTACCTGCCACGCAGGACCGTCAACTATGCCAGTGTCAATGTCTTGGGGCCACTCTCCACCCTGCGCGTGCAGGACAAGCTGCTGAGCGTGGGGGAGCGCTTCCCGGTGGTCAACGGGCTGCTCAACGCCATTCGGAGAAAAAAGTCCAAGGTCCGGCGACCTGGGGGACTCCGGCCGGGGTGCCTGGGGGGTTTGGCGCGGCTGCATGCATCCTCGGGCCTCGCAAACCTGCAGCCTCTGTGGACCTTACATGCAACGCCATCCTCCAAAGCGTGCTGACAGGAGCGGGCTCCCACCTGCTCGCCCCATCTGCTGTGCAGGACACCCTCGTGCTGTCCGGCACCATCGCCGTCTGCACCACCCTCATCCTGCTGTACATCATCGTGCGGTGACGGCTGCCCCGCGCCGTACATCAGCAGTGCAGTACAGTATCGTCGACTAGCTGCGCCATGCCTCCGCTTGCTGGCATTGCACGCACCGCGCACCCCAGCCGCGGGGTGACGTGCGCTTTGGTGTTGTTACCATCATGATTTCATGCGCCATGACAAGAACCTCGTTATGTGGTTTTCCAAGCAGACGTTGAGGCAAGTCCAGTTCTCCCTTTTGAAGGGACCAATGCCAGTTGTCATGGGCATTTTGCAGCCCCAAATTGGTGCAAAAGTCATCGAACTGAGCCCCTGTGCAGAAGTTTGCAGCCGGAGAATGCCCCAAAGCTTGGAGATGTCTAGTCAGGTCAGTGGGCTGGCAATCAAGGAAAGACGCTGTGACGCAGCAGCACACATGGATGTCATGAGCAGTGTATACAACAACAATGAACGACACAAAAAGGGGCATTCAAGGATGGGGCTGCGACTGAAAGCCAAGCGAGCTGCTGCACCATGCGCAGAGCTCAAGACCACGACCCCAGCCGCATCAGCCGTCACCCACCATGTGCGCCTGCTGCAGGCAGCCAACCGCGTCGTCGCCAGATGCTTTGGCGCCCCCCTGCCCGGCCAGCCACCGCACACACTCGAGGGCGGCGGCGACGCGGTTGCTCTGGCAGCTGCGGCGAAGCATGGAGTACGTGAACACGACAAATGACATCACCTGCAGCAGATTGCAGAGGGTGCGCACGTAATGTGCGTTGGGAACAGTAATGTGTGTGTGTGGGGGGGAGGGCGCACAAGCACAAGAATTGTTTGCGGGCACGCGACTTTCGCGCAGAAGACTGTGTTCAAGTGAAGAGTGCGCTTGTATGCACATGTTTATTGGACGCTCGGACCGTATGCAGGCACACGACATCGGCGCCGGACGTGTAATACGTGTCATATGCGAGCACCACCCACATGCGGACCCACAGACCACACCCTGTTGCCGCAACGCCTCACCTGGTTTGTGCTGCGGCGGGACACCATGCCGCCCACATAGCTCACCGCCGCCGCCTGCGCCGCCTTGCCCTCCCCGAGCGCCTGCTGCACTTTCACGACCCCATCCAGCGCGTCCGCCGCCGCGGCCGCGCACGCGCCCCAATTCGGGGCCCCCAGGTCGAGCGCCACCTCTGGCAGGTCCGGCAGCTGCTGAGCAGCAGCCGAGCCCGCCGCGCCCATGCCGGCGCCCGTTATCGCGCCGGATGTCAGCCGCGCTGGCAGGGGGGCAGCGGCGCGGTGAAGAGAGTCCCGCGGTGGGAGCTGGGGAGCCGGCGGCCGCTTGGGGGCCGCAGACGGCGGCCTGCTGCGGCCGCCGTCGCTGGGCGGCGGGGCAGGCGCTGCTGCCTGCTGCACCGTCGGCGCCGCAGACCGCCGCGCACCGGGGGCCTCAGTCGGCGACCGCCGCGCCCCGCCCGCGGCCCCCGCCGCGGCCCCGCCATCGCTCGAGCGGCTGCACGCCGCGCGCGTGCGCTGCGGCGCCAGGGTCCTCTCCTGTCTGAGGGGCCGCGTGTGCGCGGGCTCGTTGCCCGGGCTGATCCCGACGATCTTGATGCAGTCATCCCCCACCTTGCAGAGGCGAGTGATGACGCAGCCTGCGAGCGGCCTGAGGCCGGCGCAACAGCCTAAGATCTTGTGCTGCTTGGTTTTCCTGGATTCCCCTGTTTTCAAGGCAGCGGGTTCAGGGAGGGAGAGGGATGACAATTGTTATGTGTGCAAGAGAGAGAGAGAGAGAGAGAGAGA